GCAAACCAAGGCTAGTGCCTTTCGCGTTAAGAGAGAAAATCGAAAAAGAGATTGATCGTTTATAATAGGAGAAGGGGTTTTGGAAGCGGTTGAAAGTAGTGAGTGGGCAACGCCCATTGTACCAGTTGCCAAATCGAACGATCAAATACGTTTTTTTATGCGGAGATTATAAGGTGACACTAAATTTACACTTACTGGTGGATAAGCATCCGATTCTGAGAGTGTCAGATTTACCCACAAAATTAGGGGGGAGGGGGTACGATATTTACAAAATTAGATTTAGCTCAGGCCTATTAGCAGGTAGAGTTAGATGAGGAATCAAAATCGTTAGTCACGATAATAACTCATAAGGGTTTGTTTAGAAGTAATCGTTTGAGTTTCGGAATAGCATCAGCGCCTGGTTTGTTCCAGCGCGAAATGGAACAGATCTTACAGGACTTGAACAATATTCTTCGATGATTTAGTTATTACAGGAACTACGAGGGAAGAGCATGATCAAAATGTAACGAGAGATTATAAGATTGTGGATTAGCTTTAAGTAGAGATAAATGTTCATTTGCACAAAACAGTATTGAATTTTTAGAATTCGAGTTAAGCGCCAAGGGCATTCGAGCTTCGAGCAGGAAAGTTGATGCAATTTTGAATATTAAAAAACGAGAACTCAAGTTGTTTTTGGTTATGAGTAATTATTATTCCAAATTCATTAAAAATTATGCAGACATGGTAGGGCCGCTGTACGAGCTTCTTATGAAAAATAGGAAATGGGATTGGACAAAGGAGCAAGACTTAGCTTTTAAAAGGGCTAAAGAGCACCTAGCATTGCAGAGATTTTAGTACACTATGATACGGGAAGACCACTTAAAATTACGTGTGATGCATCTCCTACAGGATTAGGGGCAGTTTTGTCACATATTCTTCCGGATAGGTCGGATAGGCCAGCAGCGTTTGCCTCTGAAATATCAGTGGCGCAGAGAAATTATTCTCAACTTGATAGGGAAGCAATAGCTCTGGTATTTGGAGTGAAACCGTTTCACCAGTATGTATAAGGTCATAATTTCATATTAGAAACACCGATCACAAACTCTAACGTACATTTTTAGATCAAAGAAAGAAATTCCGCAAATGACGGCTAGTCGAGTGCAAAGGTGGGCCGTAAAAGTGAACAATCGAGGGACAGGTACAAAGTGTAGATAGTAAGGTCGTTCATAGAGAAAAGATGCAATCTTGAGGAGAGTGCGAAATTTTGTAATGCTGGGTTGGCCGGATAAAGTAGACGATTGCCTGAAGCCATTCCATAGTCGTAGGTTAGAGTTAACTTTGGAAGAAGATTGCTTAATGTGGGGATACCGCATTGTTATTCCACAGTCTTTAAAAGCTGATTTACTAGAAGAACTCCATGGAGCTCATCTCGGAGTAGTTAAAATGAAGACGTTAGCTCGGTCTTATTTTTGGTGGTCTGGTTTAGATAGGGACATCGAAGAGATAACAAAGACATGTAAAGGGTGCTTAGAGATCGCGGACGATTCTCCAAAGGCTTCATGTATGGAAGTGGCCCAAACCATCACATACATCTAGATTTTTGCGGACCCATTAGCGGTCATATGTATTTTGTAATAACCGATGCATACTCGAAATGGATTGATATTAAGAAAATGTGCGATATTTCTTCGGAATCTACAATTAGAGCTTTAAAAGAGTACATAAGCATATGAGGGCTGTCACATCAAATTGTTTCTGATAATGGGCCGGCATTTGCGAGCGAGCAGTTTCAAGAGTTTGTATTACGAAATGCCATTAAGCATACGAAAACTGTATCGTATCACCTTGCGTCAAACGAGGCAACTGAGAACGCCGTACGCACTTTCAAAAAGAAATTTAACCTGTTTCTGGAGGACAGTGCGAACGTGGGTCCTACTTTTTGGGTCAAGGAACTTAATCCTTCTGACCCGGGACTGGACCTCGTGCGACCTTAGGAGTTAGAGAAAAGTATGAAGCGAGGGATAACAAAAAAATGGAAAGCCAACGATTTTTAATCGAAATTAATCGAATCTCATAGGCGCCCCCGTAGTCGCAACGTGGAGCCATCTCTTTCGAAAGAAAAGTATCGTAACGTCTATAGGACATAACAGCAAGATGGGTGCCGCGTTTGCTCACTGTGAACCATAAGCGCGACCGCGTAACGATTTTAAAACAATGTTTGGAGATGTTTCAATGTAATCCAGATGAATTTCTGCGTCGATTCATTATTGTGGACGAAACATGGATCGATTACTTCACACGCGAGACGAAGAAACAGTCAAAACAATGAACTTCACTGGGTGAACCAGTTCCGAAGAAGGCGAAGACCGTGAAGTCGGCCGAAAAGGTGATGGCCACAGTTTTTTGGGATGCACGCGGTATAATTCATATCAATTACCTTCCGTCGAAGCAAACAATCAATGGCGATTACTACGCAGCTTTATTGAACCGTTTCAACAACATTTTAAAGAAAAAACGTCCCCATTTGGCGAAGAAGAAAGTGCTCTCTTCCATCAAGACAATTCACGGGTTCACACGTGCCCGGCACCAATGGCCAAATTCAACGAATTCCGCTACGAATTGCTTTCCTATCCAGCATATTTGCGAGATTTAGCTCCCTACGATTATTTCCAAACCTGAAGAAATGGTTCGGAAGAAAGAGATTCACCACCAGAGAGTAGCTCATCGCCGAAACAAATTTATTTTGAAGGGTTGGACAAATCATATTATTCGGACGGCTTGAAAAAGTTGGAGAATCGTTGAATTGCTGGTGAGTGTGCGATTTTATCGTGATTGGCGGCGGTTCTAATTATTAAAATCTGTTTTTTCTTACAAGTTCTTTTTCGGTCTTGTCTAGCGATCTGGCTTTGATACTGGACATCTTGACTGCTCAATCGCACGTATTTTCGAGATCCATCCGAATTTTACTTTTTTACGTTTTATGTTGATTGCGACATGAATTATTTATTTATTTTTATTTATTGTTTTATTTTATCACACTTTACATCTGAAGAGGGTTCAATCCTGTAGCCAAAACTTGTTATGTTTTTTTATACATTTATACATTTATATGCGCCGCTCCGTATCGGTTCATGTATCTTCGCCTAATATTTTTAATTAATTAAATGTTTTATAACCTAATGACTCTTCTTTCGCCGTTTATTTTGTTTGTTTATTTATGTAATATAAATAAATTATTTAATAAAAAACATGTTTTAATAATAATTTGGCGGAAGTGCTCCCAGTATATTTCTGATATAGGGACCCTTCTGAGCCAGTATGTCACGTGATCGCTCGGCGGACGAGCCTCGAGCAGTGGTGGGGATCGTTCGCCAGAATCAATTCAAAATGTGCAAATCTTTGCGAGCACTCACATATAACATAATGTGTTACATATAACAATAGTACAAAAAGATGACTTAATCTGTTCTTACATTACACATATCATATATTATATATATTTTTTAATATGATACTTTTGAAAAAGGTATGATTTAGGCAATCGGTTGTTCAAATTTTACCTACATTTTACAGCATGTTCCAAAAAGATTTATAACAAATTAATTTAATGGCGAAGGGTTAAATATGCAAAATAGATGCCTGGCATCAAGTTACAGTTCCTAATGCTCATTTGTGTTCAAATTGATACAACTTCCTTTGTGTGTATAAATATAAATATTAGGTGTACAAAAAAGTTCTGAGCTTTTTTTTGTAAAATTCAATCTTTATTTAAAAACAAACGAAAAAATATGGCTTGCTGCGTAACGCCAAGCTGTTCTGCAAGCTCCTTTTCAGTTTGCGCAGAGTTTATATCCAGCAGTGCTTGCAATTCGTCCGTTTCAATCTTTTCAGGGCGTCCAGCACGCGATTCATCTTTAAGACTGAAATCTCCTTGGCGAAACTTTTGATACCACCTTTTGCATGTTGCATGACTTACAGCGTTCTCTCCATATGCAGCACAAATCATTTCAGTGGCTTCAGCAGCATTTTTCTTCAGATGAAACGCGAAGTGGATGGAAAATCGAATATGCTCTTTTGTAATTGCCAT